TCTCTCGAAAACAATCTTGTCTCACGTGAAACCCAACCTTTTGTTATTATTATAAATTTAAATATTGTTAGATGACGAAACTTATAATAGAAAATAATAAACCATAAAAATCTAAATCAAAAGGTTCGAAACCCTAATCTCGTTAATTTTTTATGCTTCTATGTGGGATTTTGGTATATGCATTTTGTTTGTTTTCTTCATCATGTTATGATTGTTCTTATAAATTATGTTGGTATAGACATCTATTCGTTTTTATTTGGTATTTTTCATGTAACGTTTTTAGGAGAAAAAAAGTTAATAGTGGATTAAGTGTTTGGATTATTGGATTGAATTAGATCAGTTATTCAAAGTTAATTTGATTTTATTGGTTGTCAAAATCCAATATCCAATAGATTATTAGACTGTATTGGTTTCGTCGAAGGCAAAAAAAGGTCAAGAAAGTAGAAATAAGTGAATTATATGTGAATCATGGTAAAAGGAACGTGGATTCACATTTGCATTTTCAAATGATTTTTTTTTTTGAGTTGACCAAAGATTCACATATGAATCGTTTATTCGTACGTTCTCAGTCTTTTTACATTTCTTATTTAAGCCTTCCACGTATATATGTGTGTACGCATATCTAACAAATTTTTTACATATTTTTTTAAAAACATAAATATGTGTATCTAATAGTGGAAAAAAAGGGTTTGAGGTATAGAGATTATAATCTACGGGAAATTGACTCAAGTGATCATATTCCACAATTAAATTAAACTCCTAACTATTGCTCTTTTCGGACTTTACCCAAAAGTCATTAGGTCTGCAATATTCAGGTCTGCAATTCTTGCGGACTTACTAAACGATAAAAAAAACCAATGTTTTTGAGCCAGGTTCGTAACCACCAGTCCTCAACTATTACAGATCCGGCCCAAAACCCATTTTCCTATAAAGGCGAACACTTGCGTATCTGGCATTACAGATTCCAAGGAAAATGAGTTTTGCGCCGGATCCGTAATATTACGGACCTAGACCAAAAAAAACTCTAAAATTTTATCATTTAGTGGGTCCGCAAATAAGTATTGCGAACCTAGTGATTTTTGGGTAAAATCCGGAGAGAAATAGGTAGGAGGTCAATTTGATTGTGAATATATGGTCATTTTGATCAATTTCTCTAGAACGCACTCATCGTACTCGTGGTGTGCTAAAAGTAAGGTGAAACCATATATATAGGTTGATAAGTTCGCCCTCTAGCCAAACGGTCAACCATGATCCATATTGTACATTTTAGTATGCCAGACTTTAGGGGAGATTAATTAAAATAGCCATTTTTGGTTTGTAATTCCATCTTTTAGTCATTTCTCTCGTGAAATCACCAAAACGTCATTAGATCGTAAGTGACATATCTGTAATTTGCGGAAAATTCAAAGTGTAAAAAGAAATTTTGAATCAGTCCCACAAATGTAGGGACCAAATCTAGAAAATTGATATAGGTCCGCAATTTGACGAATTTACAGATTTGGTTCATGTACTAACGGACCTGGTTCAGAAACTTATTTTTTTACATTCTAACTTCTCCATAAATTGTCGACCTATAACATTGATGATTCTGAACAAGAAATGACTAAAAAATAAAACAACATTTGAAAATGGTTGTTTAATTAATTTCCCAACTTTAGGTCTCTATAAAAAACATATATAAAATGTTAACATATATATATATATATGTATATATATATATATATATATATATATATATGAGCGATCAAATGCGAACCACTTAATTTGTAAAAACCGTGCAAACCGCATTTAACCAATCATAATTTTTCATTTTGTTCATTTTTTTGTAATTATAAGATGTTGTTTAATCATTTTTATTGTGGAGGGTCTTATTTTAATTTTAAATAAATACATGAAACAGTTTCATTAATTTTAGAAAAATACATGAAACAGTTTCATTAAGTATTATATGAAACAATTTCACAACCATATATGAAACAACTTCACCAAAAAAAGTATTATATGAAACAATTTCACAAGATTAAACAATTTCATTAAAAAAATTCATAAGATTAAACAATGAAATCGACAGATGAAGGTGGTTTGCATGGTTTACACAAATGAGGGCGGTTTTCATTTGATCACTCCTCTCTCTCTCTCTATATATATATATTATATACACACTTGAACAAAACGTTTATAAACTATGTATTTTATTACTTTATAGTCATTTTATACATGCCATTTTCGTTTAATTTGAATTGAATCAAAATTAAATCATATAGACACGTCATATATTATTGAAATTACTCCTACAAAATCTCGTTTTCTTATAAGATCAATTTGAATTATATTTTATTTTAAACTTGAAGGATACTCACGCAATACAGTGAAATATATTAATTTTAATGTTTTATTTTATTCATTTTTTCTGTCGATATAATACGGTTTTATGTGTTTTTTAGAAAATGATAATATTTTTATTTTTGAATGAAATATAAATTTAAAAATGAAAAAATATTAATATCAGTATCAAATTAATTATCTAAAAGTTCTCGTTTTCCATATAATTTCTTTAATTTAATTTTTTATTATAATTTAATTTAGATTTAATAACAAAGTTATTTTTATTTTTGTTTAATAACATAATTTTTATAAGGATGATAACAAAATATTTTGTTAAAATTCAATAATGATCCTAATTATATTTTAATCTTTTATATTTAAAATGAGATATTTATCTTGTATTTGATTATGTTTATCTGCAGTTAGTTACACGAATTCAAAAATAGAGCTTTAATAAGTTGTACCTATACATAATTTACTTGTAATCTTGAATTTTAAGTAATATGCATCAATAAACAATATTTCATGCATAAAAAATAGCTTTTAAGAATTTTTGTCAAATACTTTATAATATAACATAGATAAATGTCAAATGAGACAGAAGTCTCCCTCAAAAGTATTTAACCGATGGCAGTCTCTTGAATCGTCTTTACTTAAAAAAATACAGGCTATTATCATAATATTATAATTATATTTAAAATTTTAGCTGTTTATATGATTTAGAAACCGTTGATATGTCCACCTTATCCATTTATTTTGGTCCACGCTAAAACATTCGTTTCTTGAAATGCTATCCAACATGTTTGACTCCTCTGTTTTACAATCTCTGATTTATCTCAAGATTTTATAAACATATGTTTGAATTAAAACAAAGCATTTAAGAATAACAAATTACAATTTTGACCTTATCATTTACAAGTTGATGAATATTTAGACATAATGCAACCAAATTCAAAGAATTTGTGATCCAATGCTTTTTGGTAGCCAATTGTCCACATGGGTTAAAAGTAATCAAGACATAAAAGTGTTGATATGAAGCTTCACCATGTCACTAACAATTCCTTAATCATTATTATATGTTCAAATGGTATTTTTTAAATAACATAATAATATCTGTCTTTATTTATAAATATAAATTACTGATAATTTTATAACTGAGATGATGTTTTTTCAGTCCGAATTTGAATAAGATCAAAAAACCATCGTTGAGACAAATGATGGCTGTTAGTACCACGTGTTACTAATTCAGTTGATGGAGTGAGAAGATTTTATCTGGTTTATTGAAGTAAGTCAGATAATGTTTTATAATCCGACTTACTTCAGTGTCTGCTTTAATGTTTTTTACAGTTCTAAGATTTTGTATGTTAGACTGCAAAACATTACAACAGACATTCAATTTCTTCCGTATGAATTTATTTGGAAGTATGACTTTTGAAATCCCTTTCTAAAAAAGAAAGGTTTGACATTTTGTGACACATCAAATCTTCCCAATAAAAAACTTTTAGATTTCATCACGGATGAAACACGGTTTTCTAAAATGGAAGTTTTCCACTTGAGCTTGAATAAATCCAAAATCTTTTGACTATTTACTAAACGTTTGACTTTTTTATGTCTTGAAAAACTTATGCAATTTATAAAAATAAAAGGAAAAAATTTGCTTTTCAATACGTTTTGATAACTCAGTAGACAGATCTAAAATCAGATTCGAGCTTAAAATGTCTGATTTATCGTGAAAATTTTAAAACCACATCGAGAAACAGAGTAAATTAATATAATTACGTCGTGTAAGGTTTAATTATCATATATAATTATGTCAAGTGTTAAAGCACTTCTTAGTGAGAACGGACATTAATAAAGAAACTTAGTGTGTACGAAAAAGAATCTGATTCATAACCTTTGTAGTGTATTACAATGAAATTTTGTTTTTTCCGTCTTTTCTGTTTTATATGTTTAAGGTATAAAATCCAAAAACACCAAACCTTAACGCTAATGTGTTGTAAGACTGTATAATTACTTTTATAATAAAACTGTGTTAAGAAATTATTTTAAAATAGATACATAAAAACGAAACAAAAACTTATAATTTTAGAGATACAAAAAGAAATATTACAACTGAAATACCATGAAAAACAATAACAAAAAATTCCCCAAGAAACCACAAGGGTGGTGCCTGATTGGTTTGAGCTTGGCTCCAAAGGTCAAAAGTATTAGGGAGTCTCAGGTTCAAATCCAAAGAGGAATAAAAATTCCCTTTACGGTGACTCTGGACTATCTGCAAAGCAAATGGTCACCTTGAAATTAGTCGGCTCGCATAACGAGTTGGATATCCAGATTAATCAAATTTTCTTTCCCCAAGATGGGTTACTCTTGAAATTAATTCCTAAAAATTCAAAGATAAATCATGTAGTTAACACTTTAAAGGAAATAAATTAAATATAAAAATAAATAGGTAAATTAATTAAAGAAAATTGAAAACCAAGACCCCTTTTCAGATAAGTTCTATAATATTTTTTTTCTTTTTCTTTTTCTTTTTTTAAAAACTCTGAGATCCCAATCTGACACCAATTTAAAAGATCTCCTGCCCAAAAAATTCCAAAACCCTTTTTTTATTTTTGCCCTATTTATTTTTTCTTATTATCCATTGCCATCTTCCTCTGATCTATGAACAAACTCTGTCATAATCAAATCTATATGGGTTTTTACAGCTAAGGCTGTTCTAGGAAGGTGACACAGAAGGAAGGTCCACATGAATTGAAGAGGAGGTTCAAGGTATGCACACACACCTCCATATTCTCTGAACCCAATATATAAACTATAACTTTCTCGTCTTCTGAGGCCATTGGTTGATCTTTCACCCATACCCATTTCATCTTTTTGGAGTTCTGTTTGATCTTGATGCTGTTTAAGCCTTCATCTTTATTGGGTATTCCTATCATTTCAAGAAATCTTGGAGGAATTGGAGTTTAGGGTTTGGTTAGGGTTTGATTTCTGATCTTGATCTTGATTTTGATGAGTATGTATTGATGTAGATGGTGTTAATTTGGGGGAATTTGAGTTGATTTTGATGAATATTGTGGATGATTTATATGTGAAGTTTATGTTATCTGGGAATAATAATAGTTACTTAAATATGGTCAACCCCTGTTGGAAACCATCTGTTGAAGGAGATGGAGGTTGTGTAAGGAGAACTGGAGATCAAAATGGAAGAAGTGATGGATTGCTGTGGTACAAAGACTTGGGTTCTCATGTAGGTGGCGAATTTTCGATGGCAGTGATTCAAGCAAACAATTTGTTAGAGGATCAGAGCCAAGTTGAATCAGGATCGTTGAGTTCGTTGAAATCTGGGCCTTATGGGACGTTTATCGGAGTCTATGATGGACATGGTGGACCGGAGACATCAAGATTTGTGAACGAAAATCTGTTCCCAAATCTGAAGAGTAAGTTCTTGATTTCAAGAGATTGATTCAATTATGATCTTATAATAAGTGTTCAATGTATGTTGGTTTTGATCATTTTGTATCCTCATAACTTGGTTGCAACTTTCTTTAACTTTTTAGGAATTCTAATTCATTCGGCATCAAACTATTTAGTTTGGGAAGTAAATCTTGCTAAACGATGATTCTAGATGGTAAAGTTATTGGTAGCCCACAACTTTAAGCTTATAAGGAGCTCATAGATCTAATTTTCTAATGTATATTCCATGTGTGACGGGTTGTTACAATCAAACCCCTTTCTTACTTGTCTTTCTAAGGGGCTGTTTCGTTGGTTTTTCATCAAGTCCTGTATGGATGAAGTTGTCCATGTGGATTAATATGCGTATATGGATTGAGAAGGTTTTTATTTGGGAGGGGCAGGTTTGGGATAACTTGTTTTTCCGCATAAAGCTCCCCTCTAGAAGCTTACTGAATAAGCCACTTTCTATATCATTAAGTCATTACCAATCAGTCATGTATCGCTGACTGAATAAGCTGCGAGTTCCATTAAGCTCATTAATCTGCTAATAGACAGGCCCTACCTCATTTTCTAGATCTATTGTCGTCATACTTACAATGATTTAAGCTGTGTATGCGAACCTGACTAGACACGACTCTTTGATTTTGTTTAGAATTTGCGTCTGAAGATCAAGAAATGTCAGCAAGTGTCATCAAGAAGGCTTTTTTGGCAACAGAAGAGGAATTTCTTTCGGTTGTAAGAGATCAATGGCGTATTTGCCCTCAAATAGCGTCCGTAGGTACGTGTTGTTTGGTGGGTGTCATTTGTAACGGGCTAATATACGTTGCAAATGCTGGCGACTCCCGAGTGGTGTTGGGGAGAGCCGAGAGAGGTGTCAGAGGAGTCTCGGCTATACAGTTATCAACCGAGCATAATGCAAGCTATGCTTCTGTTAGAGACGAGCTTCATTCTTTGCATCCTGATGATCCCAAGATTGTGGTTTTAAAACACAACGTTTGGCGCGTTAAAGGTCTCATACAGGTAATTAATTTACACCAAACCCTTCTAATCTTACGGGCTGTTTACAAATTGCCGACCTCCTCTTACCAGGTAAGAAACACTTACCCCGTAAGAGGTAGGTGGGTTGCCGACAAATGATGTTGACTAGGTAAGGAAAGACCCTCTTATCTGGTCAGTGCTTACACAAAGCCTACCTCTTACCCAATTTGTATCAGTAAATGGCCTCTTAGTTTCATATGACTTGCCATCAATGTTAAACGTAACTCGTTTGACCAGAAAAAGTTAACCATGAACTCTTTTCTATGTGACTACTTGCTTGAGGTTTAATAACTAGTTTCGGTTTTCAGATTTCAAGATCTATTGGCGACGCATATCTAAAGAAGGCGGAGTTCAACAGAGAACCTCTATTGGCAAAGTTTAGGCTACCCGAACCCATTTCAAAGCAAATCCTTAGTCCAGAGCCATCAATCTTCATACACAAACTTAACCCGAAGGATCAGTTTCTCATATTTGCATCCGATGGTCTATGGGAGCATCTTAGCAATGAGGAAGCTGTTGATATCGTCCATAGTTACCCACGTAATGTAAGTTCATAATCTCTTTCTCGTCCTCTTTTATCGTCAACGTTTCCTACCCCCAAAAAGTTAGAATCTAATGAAGAACTCGTAAACGTTGAGATTCACCGATGAAAATGTGGTAAGAAAGAACAGGGCCTTCTGAACATGATCATGACATAAGTTTTGCAACTTATGGATAGATGAATGTTAGCAAGACTCTTTTGAGAGTTCGAGACTTTTTAGGCCGTTTTTATCTATATTGTTTGGGATAGAGGACAAGTCTGCTTACATCCTACCTCCCCCTCAGACCCTACTTCCATATGGAACATATTGTCAACCATTGTTGGTGTCGAAATCCCGAGATGCACAGATCAAAATTAATCCGAATTTTTTTTTTTTTTGTAGGGGATCGCAAGACGACTTGTCAAGGCCGCACTTCAAATAGCAGCCAAGAAAAGGGAAATGAGATATTCGGACTTGAAGAAAATCGATAGAGGGGTTAGAAGACATTTCCACGATGATATAACGGTAGTCATCGTGTTTTTAGACCCTCCATTGAACCGAACTTCGGCTCGTGGCTCGGGTTTATCAATAAAAGGAGGGCGAGGGTTACCGCGCACTAAGCCGTCGTAGTAGCAGCAGCAGGTGGTCTTTGTTGGGAATGTTTGTAAACTAAGAAAGAGGCATGTAAGCCAAAGGGGAATCAAGTGTTAGGCATCAGAAACTGAAGAGATGGGAAATTGAACAACATTCTTTCCTAAAAATCTTAAAGATAATATTTATTTGGCATCTGTTCGTCCAACTGTACTCGGGTTACTGGTAGATCCTTTAAGCCATGCCAACGATCAGAAGTGTGTGAATTTTGGTCTGTTTAGACTTGTTTGAGTCGCTTGTTTTTCAAATTTCATGTGTTGGGTGTCGTTTATTCGAAGAAGATCATCTCAGAATCGAAGATCGTTGCAACTGAGACGTGAAGGGGTTTGATAATGGCCAAATCGGATTGTATTTTATT